AACAGAAACTTAGGTGGATGTCTTGCTCCAGCTTCACAGATGTATTACAATTGTAGTCTTCTCGTGTGCTAGAGAGTCAGATTTGTCAAAGCCTCCTGACTTCAGATTTGAACTCTTTCGTTCTTTAAATATCTGCTACAAAATGAAATTGAATTCTAAGTGGTAAAATTAAGTGTAATTTGGTTAAATCACTAAGTTTATTAATTTGGATGAAATTTAATTTAAACATTTTTAACAATCTAAAGAAATTAATTCCCTAAGATCAACTCTATTCTTCCAAAAAAAAAAAAAAACCCAAGTCATAGGAATAAATAATGGAAGCCAATTTTCCATCCATACAAAACTGTGATGTAGTGATAATTCTTGGTCTCCAAGGAATGTTTTAGGTAATGTAATTTCATTATTTTTCAACTTGTTATTGACTTTTTTGAGGCCAGCCGTTACCGGGTGTCAAGTCTAGGGACTAAAATCTGGTTGGAGCTTGAGGCTAGGTAGAAGCCAAGATGAGCGAGTTACCTGAAGCTGGATAGGCAGCAAGCAGGGGTGAGTGAGAGAAGGGAGTGGGCAGATAACAGAAAAAGTAGATAAGCAGGATAGTTCATATTCCGGCTCTCTAAAGCTCTCTTCAGTCAAAAAGAGACCTCTCATCCGTCAAGTGACACCCATTTCTGAGCACATATCTGGAAGTGTCCTACTAAGGTTTTGTTTGTTAAATTCTCTCTATAGATTTTAAATCATTTTATTGAGGGTTCCTACAGGTTTTATCACATTCCATACATCAATGGTATCAAGCATATTTGTACATATGCTGCCATCATCATGTTCTAAACATTTAATTTCTATTTGAGCCCTTAGTAGCAGCTCTCCCCCCCACCTCCCCTCCTCCACTAATGTTTTATTTGAAGCCTTTTCTCTGAGACGTTTGAAAGTCAGAGACTCAAAATAACCTCATTTTGGGCAATTTGGGAAAATAATTAATTTTAGTGAAGAAAATAAAAGCAAAGGATTTGCCATTATGTGGAACTATAATCCTCATCCCCATGAAAGCATACACGCATAAACCCAAAATAATAAACACTCCATTATCTACATAACCTCCTAGCATTTTGCCTTTTTTTCCTTCTACTTTATTGACTAAAATTTTTTTTAAAAATCAAGAAATCAGTAACACTGAGCTCTGAGGCCTAAATGTTTAGACATAGGCAACAAGTTGATTAAAGATTTATTTTAACTCTACTGAATATATGTTCTGGACGTCTCTAATATTTGCCAGAGCTGTATTGTATCCATTGTGAATTCTGTTGCATTAATAATAGCTCTCCTTTTTCAGTTTACTTATGTCAAACATCATTGTGCTAGGGAATTTACATATTTTCTCTCATCCAAAGGCGCTCTGTAGTGGGCGGCTAACCCAAGAAAGCTAAGACTCTCTCCTCCTGTAATGGTTTACAGCCTCCAAAACCCACCCGGCAGTTCTAATCTGTTTTACAGGGTGTCTCATAGTTGGGTTGCTGAGGCTGTAAATCTTTTTGGGAGTAGACAGCCTTGTAAGTATTTTGCACTGAGCTTGCAATTAACAGCAGTCCAATACTAACCCAACAGCACTATGGGGCTCCTTTATGAAAGAGAAAAATTAAGAACCATCCCAGAAAGATTAGAATAGACATTTCTTGGTGTGATGCTGCCCAACCCATCTCAATCAAAACCACACACACACAACACTCTTTGATTCGGATTACAAATACCATGTCCTTTCCAGCCATTCATCTTTTTTTGGAACTGTTGCCCTGCCTCCCTCCACAATGAGTCATCCTTGCTGTCATGACTGGGAAGACACAGACGAGAGGCTGCTGGATGCCAGTAATGCTGTATTTTGTGATTTGGGTTGTGATTCAGTTTGTGACAGTTGTGTAACAATTGTGAAGCTTTCTGTTACACTTCCTGGGGTAGTTCTCTATTGCTGTTTCAGCAGAAACACCACAAATGGGTGCCTTTAACCAACAGAACATTATTTTCTCACAGTTTAGGACGGTCGCAGTCTGAATTCAGGGTGCTGGCTCTAGGGAAAGGTCCTTGTCTCCATTGAGCTTCTGGCCCTGGGGGATTTTTGTTGGCTTGCATTTCTCTTCAGCTATTTCTGCTTGCTTGTTTAATGTCTTTTACATCTCAAAAGAGATTGATTTCAAAAACATCCAACACTAGTACTGTCCCAAGAAAACCCATTTGCAAATAGGACTATAATCACAGGTACAGGGTTCAGGATTTTAAAGCATCTATTTTGAGCAGTACACAATTCAATCCATAATACCTCCACAAAGTGTTTGTTTTAAAAAGGTGATTCATACTGAACATGGAATATTTGAAAAGGACAGAAGGACAAAAAAATCATTAACAAAACCACTATTACTTCATATTTATGGTTTGAGTCTGATTAATAAAACGCAATAGGACAAACTAGAGTTGCACCATGGGATTTCCAAGGCTTTAAATCCTAAGTAGACTGCCACATCTTTCTCCTGCAGAGATTTGAACTGTCAACCTTTAAATTGCAACTGAACTCTTAACCATTGTGCCCTTTGTGCTTCTCTGATTGAGCATAGGAGGGTATGATTTTCTTAAGGCATGCCAGGGCAAAAGAACTGTAAGGGAAGACCTTTTTTAAAGTTAGCATTTTTGCCTTTTAATTTAAGAAAAAGTCCACATTATGGAAGAATTTGGAGGAAGAGAAAAGTAAATTTCTTTATGATTTCATCATAATATGATGATTTTTGATATTTTGGTACATTAAATGAATGTCTTTGGCAAAAGTAATGCTCATGGCACTGGCTAAATATAATTTTGAGCGTAAATTCTTAAAATTGAAAAAGGTATAATAGTATTCTAAGCAATAGTGTCACTAAATATAGATGAGAAGGGTGCTTTTATATTTGTGTAAGCGTCCATGTTATCTATCTAATGATGTTATTAACTGATTTAAAGGAATTGTCAGACATGTTAGAGGAGAAAAAAATTTCAACGTATAAAATTCTTAGATCACTTGAATCACCCAGACGACAAAACATGCCATGGTTGCATAATCGTCCCCTTTGTCCTCTGGTAGGTCTGAGGAATACAAAAGGGGGCAATGAGTTAATGAGAAGATAGCTAGAATAGCAGGAAATCTGGGTCCCAGTTTCGGCTGTGCCACTTACTGAAGGGCTCATTGTGGACACGTCTGGTAACTTTCTGGGCTTCAGTGTCTTGAGCTGTAAAATGAGAGGCTTGGCCTCTATCTCAAAGGACACTAAAAGTCCAAATAATTTGTGGCACGAGGAATTTTGCCAGGCTGGGAAACATCTTTTATCATAATAAAGACCGGATTCATAAAGGAGAAACATGGAATAGCTGTGAAGAGGAGAGCTTGCCATCTTTATTTGCAACCCGAATAAATACAATGTGTTTCCTGTCCTTCCCCGACTACTGTGGAAGGGGTGGAGGAGAGGACAGGGACAGGATGTCCTTCCCTTACACCGGCCTATAACTTTACACGGTTTTTTCCGCCTCATGGTCATCAGGTCTCCTATCCAAGCCTTTTATTTTGCCATACAAAGGAAGTACACATAACTTGTTGGGGTGACAAAATTGGGCTGAGTTCCATTTTATTTGTTATTTTTAAAAGTGTCTTTCTTTCTCTTATTGATCTAGTATGAATTTTAATCACATAATATCAGAGACTTTGGCGATGGAAGACCTTAAGGAGGAACTTTTAAAAGGAAAGGAATTTGTTGGGTCCTTAGCAGGGTAATAACTATTGCCAATTTGCAGATGAATGCTAGAATAAGCCAGGAACGGGACACGTGAAAAGAGAGATACCTGGATACCTATGACAGCCCGAGGGAGCAGAAAGGAACTTCTGTTCTTTCAAGTAGTGAAACTAATGTACTGTGAGAGTTATTTGTACAAATGCCAAGCTTCCCTGGATGACAGCATGTCTTGTTTATCTCTAAATCCTCACTCCAGTGTGGGATGTAATGAGGAAGAGGAGGCCGGCTGCCCCCATAAAGATGTACAGTCTCAGAAACCCTAGGGCGCAGTTCTAGGGACCCTTTAGGGGTGGGCTCTATGGCAGGTGGGTGGGAGTTTGTACTTTTGGAATGGTGTGGCAAATTGAGTGGCAAATTGTACGGGAATAAGGTAGGAAAAGGAGAACAAAGTGTCAGGGGAATTTGGAGATCTGAAACTTTTATAGGACTCCGGAAGAGTCGTTTTCTCAGGTGAAGTGTTAACTAACCAGAATTTGGGAGAAGCAGAAAGCAGCTTCGTTGAATAGTGCAGAGTTAACCAGAGTTTAAGTGAAACTAGATCAGGAAGCTGAGTTGAACCTCGGGATGAACAAGGAAGGCAAAAGCGATAGCGATGTGCAGATTGGCAGAAGAGAGTGGAAGAGTCTAGGGTCAGCAAAACCCCGAAGTCAGAGTGGAAGGGAGTGGACCGGTCGGCTGGGTGGAGAACAATAGTCTGGGAACAGGACTAGAGTGGCTCACTTTGAGCTTGTTTCTTAACAAACTACCAGGAAGCCCTAAACGATGTGCAACTCGGGCTGGTATTTTTGGCGTGATAACTTCCGTGTGTGTATGTGTGTTTGCAACAGGGAGCGCCCGCCCTAGAACTTCCGCGTGCGAGCGATACTGGAGACCTGCCAGCCTGCGCCCAGCCCTGACCCTAGAGGAAACTGGCGCGCCCGGCCGTGCTCGGGCCCCCAATTCCGCTGGCGGGCGGGCCGGCGGCCACGCCCCGGCCGAGCCGCAACCTGATAGGCCGCTTTGGCCGCGCGCGCCCTGCGCTACGCCCCGCGACTACATTTCCCAGTAACCCTTGCGCCGCCCGCGCGCCGCAGTTGACCCATTTCCCGGCCCGTCACGGGCTTAGCCGGCCCCCGCGCCAAGGCTGCTGCTGCTCCCTGCTGACTGGGGTGTGGGCGGGGAGCGGCGGAGGGAGGAGGAGGCACTGCCGCCGCCGCCGCCGTTGCCTCCACTGCTGGGCGCCTGGGCAGCTCCCCGGGCTTCTACGGCCGCCATGGACGAGCAGGCGGGTCCTGGCGTCTTCTTCAGCAACAACCACCCGGGCGCCGGCGGTGCCAAGGGGCTCGGGCCTCTGGCGGAGGCTTCCGCGGCCGGCGACGGGGCGGCTGCAGCGGGGGCGGCCCGAGCCCAGTACAGCCTCCCGGGGATCCTGCACTTCCTGCAGCACGAATGGGCCCGCTTCGAGGTGGAGCGAGCCCAGTGGGAGGTGGAGCGGGCGGAGCTGCAGGTAAAGACCCTCCCGGCCTGGTCCTCTCCATCCCGCCTCTTCGCCCCTCCCGCCCCGGTCCCGGCCCCGGCTCCGGCCTCCTCTCCCCCCTCCTCCTCTCCCCTCGCTCCCGCCCACCCCGCGGTCCTCCCGCGCCTTCTCCTCTGGCTCGCACCTCTGCCTGTCGTCGACCCCACTTCCGTGACCCCGTTCCCACGCTCGCCCCGGGTGCGTTGTTTACCCGCGAGTCCCGCTCCCTTTCGCCTCCCCCTGCCCCTCTCTAACTCGGTCTGACTTGAACTCTTCGCATCCTGCCTGTGGCCCACCCTTCAGTGCATTTGTGGAGCTGACAGTAGTTTGAGAGACGCGGAGCAAACCATCGTCTGCTACGGTGTGTCCCATCCTGCGTTAGGGAACATTTCCAGCAAAAGATGCTGCCGGTTGGCTTTTCTATTTTTTTGTGCCAGTTGGCTTTTCTCTTTGAAGGGAAAGGCATCAGAAGTTATGTGCGAGGGCCCTTGACTTTAGGCGAGAAGCTGACGTGAGGCAAACGCGTTATTAGAAATACCAACTCTCTTTTTTCATATATGCAAATGCTTCTGCTCCACCCCCTCCTCCCTCCCCCGCGATTCTTTGAGGTATTTCGGATTCCTGGGTTTTAAAGGAAGGCATTAGATAATCAGCTAGACACAGAGATGATTGCTGTTCTCCAGCTCTTAAAACTTTCCAAGGGCGAATTGTATGTTCGGTATTTTGTGAAATAGACAGGTCTGTGCTTTAAAAATAACGAAAGTCACCTTTTAAAGTTAGTTACCTGACTGTTCAGCTCACGGTTGTTAGTTGCCCTCCAGTACAGAGTCTGCAAGATACAAAGTATAGCCAGGGAGGGGCTGTTGGGGGCCCCTTAGAAGAATGAGTGAGGCTGACGCTTCACAGGCCCTTCTCAGTTGGTGTTCACTGGTTGGTCTTGGGACTTCCAAGGCATACAACTCACTTTTTCACAAGGAGCTTAAGGAACTATGAATGGCTGTTCTTGTCTGCTTTATGGCTAATTCTGTATATTTACAAACTGCATATCTAGTGTTGGTTGGGCAAACACTTGAGGATAAAGTGCCACCCAGCCTGACACGTTTTTTGGTAACTTGCATTTTCTTCGGCACTGTTGAAGAGTCACGTGTTGGAATTGGTTTCATGGGTTTGTAGTGGATGTGGCCCTGGGAAGAAGAGACAGGCTTTTCTGGCTGCTGTGACCTTGAAATCTTTCACCTCTTGGGCCTTTTTGTAATTTATTTCAGCATGTGTTTATTGAGCACTAGTCTTGGCAACTTTTTCATCACTACAGTTTTTAGTTTCTTAGTAGTTGGAATTTTTTTCTCAGTAATGAATCTGACAGTATAAGTAAGTGTTCAGTAGATTTGAAAACTCATACCATCATTTTTTTGAGCAATACAATCTAAACATGAATTTGAGGATTTCAGACTTCAAGGAAGCATTAAAGGCAAGACTTAACTTTGATGTTGAAGAAAATCATTGTTGCCTGCAGTTCTTTAAATTTTTATTTATTTGTTTTTTTCTCCAGTTCAGGTTATGTGGGATAAGCCAGACTCATTTGGTCAAAACAAGCAAGAAAACTGCACTTAACCAAGGGAACTTCCAGCCTACTCTTCCCTCTCTCCTTTTCTCCTCTTCCTGTGTTTGAACTTGTCAATTTACCTGTGGTGAAGGCAAGTCTTATAAGGCAAACAGAAAAATACTATATATGTGTGTGTATATATATGTATATATATACATATATATATATACATATATGTGTGTGTGTATACATAGACACGGGGGCTACAAAAAGTTATGCCAAATGTGTGTGAGTGTATGTGTGTCTGTATAGGAGAGGCCTTCAAAAAATTCCTGGGAAGATTCTATTCTCTTTGAATCCCAATGCATATATACTGTCACACTGGACTAAGTTTTACTTATCCTATGCTGTCACATATTTTAATCTTCCTGTTTCTTAAACATCCTTTAGAGGACTTTTCCAAATCCCCATGGTGGAGTTAATGTTTCCCTCTTTGGACTCTGATGTTGGACTGCTAACCACAGTCAGCAGTTTGAACCCACCAGACACTCCACCGGAGAAAGAGGAGGCTGTATGGCTCCCACAAAGACTTACCATCCTAGAAACCCACAGGGGCAGTTCTATTCTGCCCGTTTGGGTCACTGTGAATCAAAGTCAATGCATTTTGGTTATCTGTCTGTCTTTCCATTACATATTATCTGTCTTCTTGGGTTGTTTATGTCATGTTATATACTTCAGTAGTTTCACCCATGAGGTCCATCATATATTAAGGGTACAACTTTTATGGTATCTTTTGATTTGACTCAAATGACAGAAGTCTACTTAAATATCAAATTAAATTAAATTTAAGCTTCTGCAGAGAAAAAAATTTAAATGTGTCATGTTTTTCGAACTAGATTAAGTTCATACTATGTATTTTTGTGAGGGAAAATTGGCAGGAATCTGGTCTGAATCCCCCTCATTAGTGTAATTGAAAATGTTTCTTTTAAAAATTTGAACATTTCTTCTAATTTTTCTTTTGCCATTGGAATTTTCCTGCTAATAGGATGTAAAAGAGTGAATGGATTGTAATGAAATATGGATCAGTTGGTGTTGTTTTTAAAGCTCTTCTCAAGCCCTTAACATCAAAGTCAACAAGAATAACTAAGATTAAGGCTAATTTGTCCCTTTGGGAACCTGTCAGTCCTGCTCTTCCATGTTGTCGGCAGAGTTGTGAAAGGCAATTCAAGCTTTCATCCACTTACCTGGTCCAGCCTGCCTAGCTATCAGTACTTCCTGCCTCCTTCAGATCTTGAGAGTAAGAGACCTGTCCCATTTTGCTGAAAGCTTCTTTGTCATCTTTCTTACTTGCACCATCTTACCAAAAAGAGCCCCCAAACTCACTGTCATCCAGTCACTTCTGGCTGGTAGTAACCCTATAGGACAGTGAAGAACCCCTCTTGTGGACTTCCGAGGCCGTAACTTTTTATAGGAGCAGAAAACTTTTTTTCCCAAAATTGCCAATCTTAGTTAATATTAATGGAGCCCTTTTTCAAATTTGACTGCTACTCCGCTGCTCCCCAGCCAACCACCACAAACAGAGATGAAAGTATGTACGTAATTCACGGGAGAAGAGTGGTTAAGAGTATTACTGAGCATGGTTGAAGGAATGAATTGAGGATGGAATTGTGTGTGAGACGTTATAGTAGATGCCCTAAAATAAACAATATAGTTGGAGTTGTAGAATGTAAACAGAAGAGTAGAATCGGCGTGTGTATCTTTTGAGGGAGTGGATTTTCTGAGAATAGTGTCAGAGAAGAACATTGCATAAGAGTAAATGGAAATAGATCAGAAGAAGAGAATGCTGTGAGGTAATGAGAAGCTAAGGCTTGAACTAAGCAATTGACCAATTATTGACATAGGAAAGCAAGCATTTAAATGAACACACACACACACACACACACACACACACACACACACACGAGGTTGTAGTGTATGTTGGGGAGAGAGAGAGAGATTGCTTTACCTGAAAATGCTAGAATTGTGTGAAACAGTAGTATGATTGTATAGCATAGGCATGTAGTGTTACAGTTATGTACGGGAGTGTTTGTAGATCTACATTTTTATATTATTAATTCATTCTTTTATTCTACAAATACTTTTTGATCTTTCTTATGCCAGATCCTGATGTAGGTGTTGGAGATACAAAAATGAGCAAAATAGACCCAACCTTCCTGAACTTAAATCCTGGGGGAAGGAGACCCGTGATAAATACATACTTCAAACATTAGCTGGTAATAAATGCCGTGAACAAGCAGGGTAAGGGAGATATGGAGTGCTTGAGATGCTGGGGAGGAAGAGGCATTACTGAGCGATAAGGTGACATTTGATCAAAGACTTTTGACAGGGTGACACTTGAGGAAAGAGCATTCAGGGGCACATGCTGGGATATTTGAGGGAGAACACTATGCAAGTGTGGCTAGAGAAGAGTAGGAAACGATGTCAGAGACGGACGGGGTAAGGACTTGCTGACTAGTCAGCAAGATGCGTATTCATAAATGTTTTGGACAAAAAGTGACATGGCCTTTAAAAGGAGCCTTTTGGAAAGTTTCAGAACTGAGCTGAAGGTGAGACAAAGGTAGAAGAAGCTGGAAGACCATTTAGGAAGCTGGCTTATTAATTCCATCCTGAGATAATGGTGACTGGACTGGAGCGATAGTGATGAGGGATGTCAACATAGATTTTGATACCTATTCAAAACAATAGATCCTGAATTCATTTTGAAGTTAGAGCAAGATGTGGTGGAAGTGTGATTTGAGAGAGGGACTCAAAAGATTACTCAAAAGCGTTTTAACAGTAGTTCCATAGGACTGTTGACAAGATTCACTGAGTCTTAAAATGGACAGAGGAAACAATTTGTTAGGTTACTGTTTCTTATAACTGTTATTTATGATTATAGTAAGAAGCAGTATGCAGTAGACCTGGATTTAGGTCCTTGCTCTAAAACCTACTAGCTATTGTATTTTATGGCTAAAATACCTATTTTTAATATTTCTGACCTCAGGAATTTTATAATTTCCTCACGTGTAAACTGAGGATGTTAGACCCTGTGGGAATGAAATGAGATATTTAAAAATATCTATCAGAGACCTAGTATATAACACACAGTAAATACTGAGTAAATAAATATAGGGTAGAAAGTACATGATGATAAATTGGTACTCTCATTTCCATTTCCTTTTCCCCAGAGAGAAGCCTAATCTGTAGTTAGGAACAGTTCTAAGCTAGGGCATGTAAGTACTCTGGGACCAGTGGTTTGACAATGGTACTAAGGGATGTTTAAACATTGATGGTATTCTTTAAAGATATAGCCATCACATTGGTGATAATGTACATTGGGTTCCAGACCACCACGGTAAAATGAATTGTGCAATATAATGAGTCACACACCTTTTTTGGTTTCTTAGTG